GGGCGATTATCTGATGACGCGATGAGCGAGGAATAGTAGTTAGCCCTAGCCACCCTCATCGCCACTAGGTAGGATCTAACATGTATCCTAACCCGTGTTCGGTCGGGTTCGGTTCGGTTGGCCCTCCAACATCTCTCTAGGCATCTTTTCCGACGTTTCATCTCTCTCAGCTCCTCGGTAAACCAGGGAGCCAATCGAGCCAATCGAGATCTACGTCGGGTCAGAGGCCGCAAAGGCACGACTCGGTCCAATGCTGCATAGCGTTTCTCAACTTGGAATTTTAAGGTTTTTTTTTTTAAAAAAAAATATTTTTGGACTTAATGTTAAGTGCAGATGCTTCCACGCAGTTTGAAAACAATCCATATCCATATCCCAATTCAAAGAGAGTACGGCTTGCCCACGAAGATCGAGACGGAGACAGCTCACACGCTCAAAAAGTTGTCCAAAAACTGCTTTTTAATAAGAGCTCCTTAAATTAAGTCAAGTATCACAATCAGCAGTCTTAGGAACCTGGCTTGGCTTTCTATACCGACCCACACCCCCTTAGTAGCAGACAAATAACAAACAGTATACCCCTCCCCTTCCCTGCCTCTCTTCCCAAACAGCTAAAGGTTTGTTTTTAAAGACCTTCTTACAGATCAGCTCTAGGTGCTACTACTACAACTATGGGGCTCCATTTACGGTTATCACCCACAACACAATGGGACCTATGTCAAACACCAAAATGAATCGGGTACACTTCTGGTGATGGTCCAAATGGAATGACCAAGCTGCCTCGGCCATCTCCCCTCCCCGAGTCCACTTCTCAAGTCCATCAGAAGCCAACGGTGCTTTTAGCCTGTGGTGCTGGGACAACATGGCGCCTTGGTCTTCTTCAAGCAGTCGAGCAGCCGCTTCCTAAAGTATATATCGCTGTATCTGAGTCCGGTCAGGTGTCTCAAAGTGGGGGGCACTTGTTCCTGGGTGATATCCACATAAACCGGGATGACCTTCGCCCCCTTGTGGTGTACGGTATGGACCAGGTTCCACTCCAAAATGCGCTGGCACCAAAGGTCAGTCATTGAATGGGAGGTCAAGAGGACGATGGCAAGTCGGCTGCTTTGGATGATCTCGTTCACGGAGGCCAACACCGGCGCCCCGGCCACGTGGTCCTGATGTTCCACGTAGCCATGGAAACCATAGTTAGCCAGCATCTCACGGATGGCGGTGGCAATGGCATCATCCTCCAGGCAGTACCAGAGGGAGAAATCGTATCGGAACGGAAGAGATGTCATGGCATAAAATTATGGAGGAACTGCCGCTGGGGCAACCGGTGATTTTTTTCACCCCCACCCCCACCCTTCCTGCAAAGCCCACTTGTCCCAGCCTATCTCTGTGTGTGAATTCTGTAGAAACTTCCTGTTGGCTTTCTCCAAAGTGAGGTGTTTTGTTCTGAATGTCTGTATGAAGAAAATAAAACAAGGGCCAATGGAGCTGCGGAGAACTAAGGGCAACAGTGAATCTAGGGCCAAAACAATCAAAACAACGCTAACTGCACAACTGGGCATGTCAGAGTGAGCACAGCGAAGAGATTCAGGTCCTCAAAAGGCTTGTAGCGGGCAGCCGGCTTGGACACACATTCACAAAACCTAACACACGGACGGTGTTGAAGATGTGTGGCGTAGGCATGCTGAAATCACATCACAATTGCGAGTCTTTAGTTCAAGCATGGCATGGATCCTGCAGGGGGGAGGGGGGAAGCGCTATGGTCAATTTGGCTGTGGTCACTTCCCCCAAAAAAGTTATCTCACAAAGCCCTCTGCTTCATCTCTAAAATGCCCTGCTCCAGGGTTGCTCCAGCCAGTTTCAGCTCCTCACACTTCTCCTTGAGCAAACTGCAGGCCTTCTGGAGGCGGTGATTCATCTCCACGTAGGACTGGGTCAGCCGATAGAGGCGTTCCCTCTTGGCCTCTGGATCTTCATTCTTCGTTGGGGTGGGCAAATCTGGATGCAGGCAAAATGGGAAGGGGGGGCGGGGGGGAAAGAAGAGAGACAGAGATAACAATAGAGGAGAATATAATAATAATAATAGTAAAGTTGGAAGGGACCTTGAAGGTCATCTAGTCCAGCCCCTGCTCAGGCAGGAAACCCTATACCATTTCGGACAAATGGCTGTCCAGTCTCTTCTTAAAAACTTCCGGTGTTGGAGCATTCACCGCTTCTGGAGGCAGGTTGTTCCACTGGTTAATTGTTCTCACTGTCAGGAAGTTTCTCCTTAGTTCTAGATTGCTTCTCTCCTTGATTAGTTTCCACCTGTTGCTTCTTGTCCTGCCTCCAGGTGCTTTGGAAAATAGCTTGACTCCCTCTTCTTTATGGCAGCCCCTGAGATATTGGAACACTGCTATCATGTCCCCCCTCTTCCTTCTCTTTATTAAACTAGACATACCCAATTCCAGCAGCCGTTCCTTATATGCTTTAGCCTCCAGTCCCCTAATCATTTTTGTTGCTCTTCTCTGTACTCTTTCTAAAGTCTCAACATCTTTTTTACATCGCGGTGACCAAAACTGGATGCAGTATTCCAAGTGTGGCCTTACCAAGGCATTGTAAAGTGGTATTAACACTTCACGTGATCTTGATTCTATCCCTCTGTTAATGCAGCCTAGCACTGTGTTGGCCTTTTTGTAGCTCAGGGTTGAAATGAGGGGTCCTTGGTGCTCTCTGAACCTGGTGGCTTTCTTGCAGACATTTCATTACCAAACTAGGCAACGTCATCAGTGCTAGCAGGGAGTGGGGTTTGCTCTCATTTTATATTGTATTGACATGCCCTGTCAGTTTTCAGTGGTTATTTGGCTGGGCTCTTTACTATTAGCTTGGTTTACAGTTCCTTGATTGGGGTACTGTTTACTTCTTGACTGTTGGTCTGGTGTTAATCTTGCTATTAATCTCTGCTCTCTACTACCACTGATGATGTTACCTAGTTTGGTAATGAGACATTTACAAGAAAACAACCAAGCTCAGAGAGCACCAAGGATGCCTCAGACAGAAATAAAGTGTGCTACCTTTGTGGAGCACCTACATAGCTTAATAATAAAGCATTGGTTGGCACCCAGATCCTCCTAGTTTCAATATGACAAATCCAGGTCCAGCTACAAGGAATCCAGTCAGAAGTTCAGGAGAACAGTTGGGCTCAGATCCATGTTATAATGCAGTCAGTTTCATGTCATAGTGCAGTGATAACTACTATAAAATTGAAACCTGAAGTCTTTCTTTTAGGATTACTATATAAGATTTCCCCCCCAATAAATCTTCCTAAAAGGTTTGGAACTTTATCACTGTATATGTTGGCCGTAGCGAGAATTTGATATGCACAGAAATATATATCAATCCCCACCACAAAAACATGGATGGAAAAGGTGAAACTAGCAGAAATGGCAAAATTGACTTTTCTTATTAGAGAAAAGAACAGATCAAACGTTGTTTCTACCTGGAAGCCACTTCTGGACTTTGTGCTTGAGACACACAGCAAAAAAAACAGAACCCTTGATGTTGGGTTTTGCTGATTAATAGAACTGGCCGATATAGAAATGGCTAGTATTTGTCAAGTTGGTAAAAGTAAAAAGTTGAGGCTGTAATTCTGTTTTGTACTTTATACTATGCTGAAAAAAGTCAATGGTCTCTTTTTTTCTTTTCCACTATACATACATCTTTCTTTCCCTTTTTCCCCATCATCTTCATTTGTGTTTTATATTAAGATAATTGTAATAAAACATCTAGAAAGAAATTCTGGAGAACAGTTATTCCCCAAAAGAAACTTAATTGATTTCCATCTGGATTCAATTTAAGACAACTTCCTCTATTTTTCTAATAAAACCTGAGCTTCATCCAAAACTATGAGAATTAATTTTTTTTCTATAATGGCTAAATATTTACTTTCAAGCAAAGTATGTTAGGACCAGCAGCTTCAAAAGGGCTGGAAACCACAGTATGTTAAGGCCACACTGACACTCGATCCACAATGTATTTACTTAGGTCGCAGAGGCCCCTTTATGAGTTGTAGACTTCAACTCCCAGAATTCCTGAGCCAGCGTGGAAGTCCACAAGTCATAAAAGGACCATAGTTCCCCACCCGTGACTTAGGATTTGTTTAAAAAGTCATAGAGGGCAGACTGCAGTTAAAACTAAGCTGCTAAGCTGGAAAGATCTTTAATAGATCTGCCTTATAATTTTGTGTGAGCCAGCCATTCAGATTCACAAACCATCTTTTGCGGCTTCGCACTATCTGTAAACTCAAACAATGTTTCTAATATGCTGGGTGGGCAGGCAACCCGGACGCAGCTTCCTGGCAGCCATAGACCATTAACCAACCTTTCCGTTTGGTGACGTTGAAGGGGATTTTGGAACCCCAATTCGGCTCCTCAAAATTGGCAGGTTTTTTGGGGATGATGGTGTAACACAAGGGTCTTCAACCTTGGTCCTTTCATGACTTGTGGACTTCAACTCCCAGAATTCCTCAGCCAGGCACGCTGGCTGAGGAATTCTGGGAGTTGAAGTCCACAAGTCATAAAAGGGCCAAGTTTGAAGAGCCCTGGTATAACAGAAACTTGCAAGTCTGAACATACATCTCTCCTCCCTCGTCTTGACAGTCCATGAAATTAGAGAGGATCCCTTCCGAGACATTTGCTATGCCCCCATTCCTTTTGCAGGCTAAGCTGTTTCTGATCTGACCATTGCCTAGCCTGCAGTTCTTCTGTCTCCCAAGGCCATTCACACAGACCATTACAATTTACTTTTTGCTGACAGATGGAAACTACAGGCTTTTTCCTTTGCATTCAGGGCACTGCGTCTGCACCTTGGCACACTGTTTATCCTTTACATCAGAGGTCCCCAACCTTTTGGGCACCAGGGACCGGTGCCACGGAAAAAGGTTTTTCCGTGGACCAGAGGGGGTGTGGTTTTGAATACTGCCTGCATCCCGAGGATGGAGCTTTGCTTGTGCGGCCCGCTTGCTGGCAGGCTGCGGACCAATGCCAGTCCACGGATCGGGGGTTGGGGAACCCTGCTTTACCTGCCTTTTCATCCACGTTAAGCTTTGGTCTGGATCAGTGTTTCTCAACCGTGACAATTTTAAGGCATGTGGACTTCAACTCCCAGAATTCCACAGCCAGCATTGCTGGCTGTGGAATTCTGGGAGTTGAAGTCCACATGCCTTAAAATTGTCAAGGTTGAGAAACACTGGTCTGGATTCTCATCTGCCATGAGATTTTTCCTGAGTTATATAGTCTGTATAACTATATACTATGCCAGGGGTCTTCAAACTTGGCCCTTTCATGACTTGTGGACTTCAACTCCCAGAATTCCTCAGCCAGCGTGCCTGGCTGAGGAATTCTGGGAGTTGAAGTCCACAAGTCATAATAGGGCCAAGTTTGAAGACCCCTGTACTATGCAGTTATGTAAAGAAAACCTGGGGTAACCTGGTCTCCTCCCTGCATTTACTTGGCAAAGCGCAGAGGACAACATCTGGGCCAGGATCTTCATACCTTCATTGGGCTCCACCAGGAGGACAAAAACGGGGTCGTTGGGCTGGGCACGCTGGACATCTTCAAGAATCTGTTCTGCGTTGGGGGGCTCAGGGCGTGTTGGGAGGATCACCCTCTTCTTGGCCTTTGAGGTCATTGCTTGGAAACAGGTGCCAGAGGGCACTGGAAGAAGAGTTGGAGAGAGAAAGAGGAGACTTGGATCTTTGTTCCGATAAGGCTCAGATAGAAATGGACTGGCCTTCCAGGTCGTCCTCAAATTACAACCATTCATTTAGTGACTGAAGTTAGAACAGGACTGGAAAAAGTGACTTAAAACCTTGACCTGTGACCACAATTGAGCCCAATATTTCTGTTGCTCAGTGAGACATTTGTTAAGTGGGTTTTGCCCCATTGTATGACTTTTCTTGTCGCGGTTGTTAAGTGAATCATTGCAGCTGTTTAGTAACCCGGTTAAGTGAACCTGGCTTCCCCCATTGAGTTTGCCTGTCAGGTGGTGGCAAAAATTGATCACATGATCCCCTGGGCCGCTGCAACCGTCATAAATGTGAACCAGTTGCCAAGTGTCTGAATTTTAATCACATTGGCCATGGGGATGCTGCAATGGTCATAAGCGTGAAAAATGGTCATACGTCACTTTTTTTTCAATGCTGTTGTAATTTTGAATGGACACTAAATGAACTGTTGTAAGTTGGGGACTACCTGTACTTGCACCTACAACCACTGCAGCATTCCCATGGTCACGTGATCAAAATTTGGACACTTGGCAATTGTTATGTATTTATCACAGCTGTGTTGTCCCAAGGTCACAGGATTGCCATTTTCGATCTTCCCAATCGGTTTCCAATAAGCAGTCAATGGGGGAAACCAGATTCGCATGATATTAATAACCAAAAGTGATTCGCTGGTCTCAATTGTGGTCGTAAGTCGAGGACTATCTGTCTATGTGAAAAGGAACTCCAACGTTAAATTACACAGCAGTTCAAGCTGAAGAAACTATTTAGTCAGGGGGCGTTTATTCCTCTGTACGAACTTGGCATTCTCAAGTTTTCATATTTTTTTTTAAAAAAAATAAGCCTTCCTCTTCAAAACCCCCTAAGGTACAGACAGTTTGGTGCAGTGGTTAAAGCATCAGATTCAAAATTAGGAGACTGCGAGTTCTAATCCTGCCGTAGGCACAAAGCTAGCTGGGGGATTTTGCGTTGGTTCCTCTCCCTCAGTCTGAGGAGGCAAGGGCGACCTATTTCCAAAAACGTTCCCCATATAGCCATCAGAAATCCAGTGACACTTGAAGGTGTGAGCGTGCGCGCGCACGCACATACACACACACAAAGCAGCATTTTGAGCCTGAGGTAAAACACATCTGATCCATCCATTGATCACATCACTCCGTAACTGACCCAGATCACCCTCATTGGAGAGAGTAACTATCCTAAATGAGCCAGGCCAGCTCAAAGTATCCTCTGTACAGGTGTGGGGTGAAGGAGTACCTGCAATTTAAGAAAGGAAGCTGGGGGGGGGATGTTGCTGTTTCTAAGATGGCACCTGCCATCTGTTTTTTTAAATAAGTTACATAAGTTACATTTAAGAAGGATGAGCTTTTGAAATTTGCCTTTACAGTGTGCCTATCTCGCAGGAAAAGTCAGACATCTGAACCAAAAAAATATGAATTCAGCTACTAAAACTGGATATTGTACTGTACTCTACATATAAACAGACTTTGTCTCCATCTCTGGGGGATAAAAACCCATGCAGGTATTTCCTTCTGGTTTTCTGTATCTAGAAAGCAACCTAACTATGTGTGTTTAAATAGTTAAATGAACAGACTGAAACGGTTTCAATTTAAACAGAAAGGCAACCTAATTATTTTTTCCTTATATAACTTATTTTTTTAAAAAAAAATAGATGGCAGGTGCCATCTTAGAAATACCAGCATCCTCCCCCACCCCCCCACCCCCCCCCCAGCTTCTCTGCATAAACACAAAACAGAATGTTGCTTTTAAAATAACAATTATTTTAATCCATTGAAAAGTTAAAAAAAAATGCTTCCAGAAGGGACTGTTATTGGTGCAATTGCTCTGCTTCCAAACATGATTTTTACAGCAGGAGGCATAACTCTATCTTCTATGAAATCCATGTTTTAAACATTGCTTATATCACCTTTTTTTCTTTTAAATTAGAGAGGAAGAAATGGAATAACATACACAACTTTTTGACTGTCGGTGCTAGAAGTTATCCATTTGAAAGCGTTAAAAAATGGTTTTCCCCTTCAGAAAAACAATAGTTTTATCAAATGCAAACTATGCCCGATTTAATTAATTGTAGGTAAGGAGGAAAACATAATAAAGAATCAAACAAGGTGCCTGCTATGCAAACACTTCGTTATCAGCCAGCTTCAGGATACACACAAATCTGTCCCCCCAGAATCACACTTTTGAAATACAGTGGCAAACCGCTGAAAATCAAAAACATCGCGATGCGTTTTTTAAAAAAATTAAAATAAAATCAGATGCATTAT